GTGCTTCGTCTACTTGTTGATTTTACGTTGTAATAGCACCGAGTGGTTTATTTTGATAACTCCACCGATCAATGCGTATTTGCTAAGTCAGACAGCTGGTGGCACCGGTTTGTGAATACAGAAAACCACGGGATTTCTCCAGACACCACCCTTATAGTCCTGGTTGCGGTGAACAGCAATTTCGTTTTGCTTAGCAGGTTTGTTGGCAAAGTGCAGATAGAAGAGCAGTGCCCTGAATAGACAAGTTAGAAAATTGGGGATTTGAGTTTGTCAGTAATCGGTAGCGAAAATCCCCCGGTAATTTTCATCCATTAAAATGTGGCGTAATTTACCGTAACGATTAATTGTGTTGACAAAAAAGGGAAGTATGTTCACACAATATTTCACGAGCAGGAGCTCACGGTTAGACTGAAGAAGATTCTTCGGTAGCCGCCTGTGCATCTCCACTGCGTGCATTAACTTGAGGGCGTGAGAATATTGTGTCATTCCGACGACCGAATCTCACGTCTCCTGCAAAAGGTAGGAACCTCGACCGAGGACGTATTCATCTACCAGCTTATTTTCAGGCCCTGCTAAATAACATGCCCAACAGAGGTGCGTTAAATATTGCGGTGAGTTGTACAACTGTTTATCCCTTGAGGATGGACTCGTGTGAGAGTTGAAAACGCCAGATGAATAATCACCTATTGCCCGAGATTGGCTTTCAACCTCCACATATTCTACTGCCTTCAAGTTTGCAAAAGTCAGACTTACAGGATGCCTTCCTGACTGATGAATGTTTTTGCTGACATTTGGGAGAGTCGGGTCGGCTGTCCTTTGTAAAAAGGTAGACCAACTTATCAATCAACTATTTGAAGTTGTGACCTTGAGCTGATCGATGTACTTGGGCGCCGATGTTTAACTGGACTGCTGCAAACCACAGTATTCAGAAAAGCCACCAGCGCAAAGCAAAACAGCAGACATCAACAGAATTAACTTATTGCCTCGCAGATTCGCCTGCGTTTGCAGGCTTTTCTAAAAAGTTCAAACACATTGCAGTCCATCAACTAATATAAAAGCGGCACTAAATACCATTATGACCTCTAGTTAGCTAATTTCTTTAGCAAAAAACGCAAGTGTCAAGTGAGGAGACGATGGGTAAAGGATCAGCAATCCGAGGCCCGGAGGGGAATTCTGTACCTAAAATAATTCTGCGAAAGTGTTTCTCGACTGCCACAGTCCGCAGGGGTTGCCAGGGTCCACCGCGTGAGGCAAACTCAAGATAAACCGCCCCTACGGAAATATCTGCAGTGCAAACGCGATGACTTTAATAACGCTGGAAAAACAGAGCGACAATTGCAGACCCGCATACACGAACACAAACTGGCGGCGCAGAGACTTGACCCCAAAATGCAACCTGCAACAACTATGGGAGAGACCAACCACAACTTCGATACTTAAGGATCAACCATCGTACCCTGAGAAACCTCAAAAACAGAAAAAATGACGCTTGAGGCACGATAACCAGATGTCAACTCTTTCGACAGCCATCCGGACCTTCCCACGGCCCACACAGTCCTACGCCAGTACATGATCTAGGGGCAAGTCAAGAACAAACAAAAATTT